ATATATAGATATATATATATATATATACATATATATGTATATATATATATATATACATATATATGTATATATATATGTATATATATATATATATATTTACATATCTGAAGAGGAAGAAGAGCAGAAAAATCGAAGAGAAATTTAACATCAAACAAAACACAAAAACCAAACGAACGACAAAAAAGAGAAAACGAAGAGAAGCAAACAAACATAAAAAACAAACAAATGCATGCAAATCAGTCTCAGCTACTCCTTCACCACGCTAGCGGCCTTCCCTTTAGGGCTTAGGGTTTAGGGTTTAGGGTTTAGGGTTTAGGGTTTAGGAGCGGACGGTCTTTGCATGCGTCGCAGTGCCCATAGTAAACAAAAATAACTCGAAGTAACGCGACATCTCTCTGCAGCACACAAACCCTAAACCCTAAACCCTAAACCCTAAAGACTTGCTGAGACAGAAGAAAAGGGTTTAGAGAGCATAAAATGTAATATCGGAGAGAGACAGCACGAACAGCAAACGAAAGAAAAATAAAATGCAGATGTATTAACAATAATGACAACAATAATAAAAATAATAATAATAATAATATTAACAAAAACAGTAATAATAATAATCATAATAATAATAGCAATAATAATAATAGCAATAATAATAATAATAATAATAATAATAATAATATACATAATAAACAGCGAGAGGTGAGGAGACAGAAGAAAAAACAAAGAACAGCAAATAAGTGCATGCAGACGAAGACAGCAGCACAATAAAGCAGACAAACAAAAACAAAAAAAGATAAATAAAAACAAACAAACAAACAAAACAAACAAAATAAACAAACAAAATAAATAAATAAATAAACGGACGAACCTCAAGAATGAAATAACCCCTGGGCGGAGTTTCATAGTGCTGGAATGACCTGAGATAAATAAATAAATAATAAATAAATAAATAAATAAATAAATAAATAAATAAATAAATAAATAAATAAATAAATAAACGTATATAAGTAAGTAAATAGATAAACAAAAAAATAAATAAATAAACAGAGAAAGATACACAAAAACAAATAAAAACAAATAAAAAAACAAACAAACAAACAAATAAACAAACAAACAAACAAACAAACAAACAAACAAATAAACAAACAAACAAACAAATAAATAAACAAACAAACAAATAAACAAAACAAATAAACAACTGCTCACAGGCTCCTCCGTATGCATCAGAAGCATCTGCAGCAACGCGGCAGCAAATGAGAGACTGTTCCAGCTTCGCAACAATAGCAAGGGCCTCTGCATCTGTTCTGTAGTGCGGATACACCCCGCGCCTGCTGCTGCTGCTGCTGCTGTTGTGGCTGCTGCTGCTGCTGCTGCTGCTGCTGCTGCTTGAAGCGGGGAAGCAAACCTCCTCCCAGGTCTCCGGCTCTGGGGCAGAGAAGCGAGCAAAGTTCGTGCTGCTGCTGTTGCTGCTGCTGCTGCTGCTGCTGTTGCTGCTGCTGTTGATGCTGCTCGTGGAGTTGCTGCTGCTGTTCTTGTTGCTGTTGCTGCTGCTGCCGTTGTTGCTGTCGCTGCTGCAGGTGCTGGTCTGGTCGCTGCTGCTGCCTTCTGGGCTGCAGGCCGTATCCACCTCAGCTGCTGCTGCTGCTGCTGCTGTTGCTGCTGCTGCACTTGGTTCGCCTAGCTCCGGGTTTGTGTTGTCACATGCAGTTGTTCCTGCTGCTGCTTCTCCTGCTGCTTCTCCTGCTGCGTCTGCTGCAGCAGACCCATCTGCTGAGGGTGCCTCCGCACTTGTCGCCGCTGTCTGCTGCTGCTGCTGCTGCTGCTGCTGCTGCTCTTGCTGGTGCTGCTGCTGCTGCTGCTGCGTGCTGCGTTTCTTAGGGGCGAAGTCATCTAAGACGATAGTCGGCAGACAGTCGACTGGAGGCGGCAGCGAAGTCGCGTGCAGCAGAGTGTTGTCTAAATCCAACACCTGCAGCAGCAGCAGCAGCAGCAGCAACAGCAGCAGCAGCAACAGCAGCAGCAGCAGCAGCAGCAACAACAACAGCAGCAACGCAAACCGCAGCAACGCAGATATCCAAGGCTGTTGGGGTTACTTAAAAGCGCAGCTGCTGCTGCAGCTCCTCAAGAGGATGCTTCGACAGCAGCAGCAACAGCAGCAGCACCAACAGCAACACAAACACCAGCAGCAGCAGCAGCAGCACAAGCAGCAGCAGCAACAGCAGCAGCAAATTACCAAGCAAAGTTTTCTTCTGTTGAGAAGCGAAAGAATCCTCTCTCTCTCCAGCTCCTCAGCCGTCTGCGCTCAAACCGCAAACCCTAAACCCTAAACCCTAAACCCTAAACCCTAAACCCTAAACCCTAAACTGTCACCGTGCGAGCGCAGCTCCTAAAGCCAAAACCCTAAACCCTACACCCTAATCCCTAAACGCTAAACCCTAAACCCTAATCCCTAAACCGTAAACCCTAAACCCTAAACCCTAGAAGAGAGAGATAAAGATACCTGTCTGTCTATTTTGAGTCCCCTATCAGAAGAGAAGAAGCCGGCAGCGACAGCATTGTCAATTTGTTGTTTGTTCAGCGGAGACAAACAAAAACAACAAACGCCCTCACTAACTAACGGGTGGCTGCACTGCTGCTCTCGTACAGCCCCTACGCAACGCCTGCATGCAAGCAATATCAGAGTTTGTTTGTTTGTTTGTTTGTTTGTCTGTTTTAGTTGTTTAGTTGCTTGGCTTTTTATTAGTTTGTTTATTTATTATTAGGAAAATATATATATATATATATATTATATAAAGATATTATTATATATTATCTATTATTATTTTTTATTATACATTATATATTATATATTATTATATATTATTATATATTAATAAATACTTACATGCATATTCATGCATATTTATTTATTTATTTATTTATTTATTTATTTTATTGTAATTCACTTGTTAATCTTTTATTTTGTTTTTTTAACTTTTTGATTGCATATATCTAAATATATTCATATATTATATTTATATTTATATATATATATATATATATATATATTATATTTATATATATTTATTTATATACATATTTATATTATATTTATATATATTTATTTATTTATCAAGGAGAAGAATAAACAAAAAAGAGAGGGGGCACCAAAAGAACAAACAAAAAAGAAATATAAAGAGCAGCAAAGGCAAAACAACAGCAAATAGATAAACAGACAAAACCCTAAACCCTAAACCCTAAACCCTAAACCCTTGACGGACTGTGTGGGGTTTGTCAGCACTTCATTTGTTTGCAGATTAATACTGCAAAGGGTCCCTGAGACTGGGGAGCGAACAACAAACTCTGATGAGGCCCTTTCTGCTGCTGCTGCTGCTGTTGCTGCTGCTGCTGCTGTTGCTGCTGCTGTTGTGCTTCCCGTTGCTGCTTCTGCTGCTCCTCCACCTTTAGCGTCTGCTGCTGCTTCTTGATTTGCTGTTTCTGCTGCTGCTGCTGCTGCTGTTTCTTCTGCCTTGGCCGCATCTTCAGCAGCAGCAACAGCATCAACAGCAGCAGCAGCACCAGCAGCCGCAGGAGCAGCAGCAGGAGCAGCAGCAGCAGCAGCAGGAGATAGATGAGCCATCACCTGCCCTGCTGCTACGTGGCTGTTGAGAGGGACACGCCAGCGCACAACCAAAGGTAGCGCCTTCAAAGCCTCATCAGGAATATAAACAGAAACAGCTCCTGCTGCTGCTTCTGTTGCTGCTGCTTCTGCTGCTGCTGCTGCTGCTGCTTCTGCTCCTCCTCTTCCTGCAGCACCTCCTGGTGCAGCAGCTGCTGCTGCACCACCTGCAACACTTCCCAAGCCCTCCTTCGCGCCTCTGAGCAGGTCCATTGGCCTAAACCCTAAACCCTAAACCCTAAACCCTAAACCCTAAACCCTAAACCCTAAACCCTAAACCAGATCGGAAGAGCGTCGTGTAGGGAAAGAGTGTAGATCTCGGTGGTCGCCGTATCATTAAAAAATAGGGGTTCTCGTGAGGTATATGGGTTAGGAAGGCCTTTAGATCGCCTTTGCAGTTTTCTATCGGTGTTTGCTTTGTTTATTTTGTTTGTATAAATACATGTGCGGAGCCAGAGAGGTACACAAACAAAACAACAAGCTGCATGTACACCTGAAGAGCTATCAGTTAATCGCTACGCTATGCTGCGTTGCTGCTGTTCGTGCTGCTGTTGTTACTGCTGCTGTTGCTGCTGCCGCTGCTGTTGCGGTTGGTGTCTTGCTGCTGTTGCTGCTTCTGTTGCTGTTGCTGCTGCTCTTGTTGCTGCTGTTTCTGCTTCTTCTGAAGCTCCTCCTGCTTCTGAATTGGCTGCTGCTGCTGCTGCTGCTGCTGCCGTTGCCGCTACTGGGCAGAGTGTTCCTGCTGCTGCTAATGTTGCTGCTGCTGTTAGCGCTACTGCTGCTGCGAGTGTTGCTGCTGCTGCCACTGTTGCTGCTGCAGCTGATGTTGCTGGTGCTGCTGCAGTCTAGCGTCTTTGTTGCAGTAGAGCTTCTGCTGCAGCAGCAGCGTTGAGCTCTCGGGGCCCCAGCTGTCGGGGGCCCCCTCCAGGGTTAGGGGCCCCCAGGGGGTGGGTATAGAGTCTATAGAAGTTTAAAATGAAAGAAAAAACTAGTTAAATATAGTTCAATACGATAAATAAGAATAAATGCAGCCATATTTGCTTTCAAACGCCGGCCTTTTCACTAAGTTATGCTGGGGCCCCCCTCAGCTGCATGCAATACAACAGCCTTTCGGGTGTCTTGGGGGCCCCTTGCTTCTTCTCTTTCTTCTTTCGTTTTATATTGTAAAAGCTAAAATACTTCTGGGTATTATCTCTAAACAATCAATCCTAAACCCTACACCCGATCTTCTGTGACCATGTGTTCTCAACGCAGTAAACCCTAAACCCTAAACAATAAACCCTAAACCCTAAACAATAAACCCTAAACCCTAAACCCTAACCCCTAAGCTTGGCTTTCTTCGTCTCATTTCCAGGAGACAAGGAAAGGTGCACAAGTATGCTGCGCTGTGTTTATCATCTCTTTCTAAGCGTTTTGGGGTTTACTCTGCCCTAGTGCCTCTCTTCTTCTGAATTAGGGTTTAGGGTTTAGGGTTTGCGCGTGCGCACGTTTGATGAAGCCACACCACCTGGGGACCCTTGAAGGGGGCCCCCTGTGCCTTTTAAATAGGCGGGGGCCCCTGTGGGGCCCCCGGCCTTCATCGCTTTATTCTTCTCTTCTTTCTTTCTCTAAAACAGCACCAACGCGCTGCACACTTCACCATGCAAAATACAATTCCTGTCACCCCCCTCTGCTGCTGTCTCTCCCCTCAAAGTCTTCCTTCGGTGCAGCAGCAGCTGCTGCTGCCACCACCAGCAACAGCAGCAGCACATGCATGTGTGTTTGCGATATTCGTTTATTTGCTTCGAGCCGCCAGAGGGCGAGAGAAGAGAAGTGGGAAGAAGAACATCTGGCCAGCGATGTGCAGCAATTGCTGCAGCAGGTCGATGAAGCAGAGATGCAGCAAGCGAAGCTGATGGGTAATTAACAAACTCTTCTCCTTTCTGTTTGTTTCCTTCCCTCTGTCTGATCTTCTTCTTCTTCTTCTCCTTCTTCTTCTTTTATTTCTTCTTCTTTTATTTCTTTGTGTGTTTCTTGTTTTTGTCTGCCTGGCGTTTGTTTCTTCTTTCTTGTGTTTTCTGTATTTGTTTGTTTGTTTCTGAATATTGTGTAATGGGCGTTTTTCCTCATTTCTGTATAATTGTTTGGTTTCCCCTCTCTCTTCGTCCCCTGTAATGATAATAATAATAATAGTAATAGTAATAATAATTATTATTATTATCAGTTTGTTGATGTTATTGGTTTGCGTTGTTGTTTCTGCCGCTTTCTTTGAATTTGTTTGTTTTTTCTATTGTAATTCTTTTTACTGTTTTCGTAGGCCGCTGTCCTCCTTCCGTCTTTGACTCCCCTGAACTTCAAAAAGAATTTCAAAAAACCATCGGCCGCCGCCGTACCCAACTTCTCGCAGCAAACAAAGCTGAAAAAAATTCAGTTGCAGCTAGTGGCTGGGGGGCCCCCCACAGGGGCCCCCATGGTACAGCGTCTGATGAGGGAGGGGGGCCCCCCAGTAAGACAGAGGAGGGTTGGGCGGAGTTTCTTGATCGATACAAACGGCCGCAGGCGGTTTTCAGTCCTTCTTTGCCTTCTATAAGCAAAGCAGGAAGAAGAAAAAGAGGAAAACAACAAATGAGTGAGTGAAAGGGAGAACCTTAAACCGTTCATGCTTTTAGGCGTATTGCTGCTATTCATATTATATCTATATGTATATATATGTAGCTATAAAAAAATTAAAGGGGGGACCAAAGTAAGACTGTGCTTGGAAACAAAAGGCGTGTGGGTGTGTTAGTGCGGCCTTTGCAGTACCGCAAGAGATGCAAGACAACAGAGAAGCGACGGCGAGTACAGAAGAACAGGAAGAAGGAGCAGAAGGAGAAGAAAATGATTCAATGGACTTTCCTGAGGAGGAGAGCGACCAGTGTGAATCTCTTTTCGACTATGTTTCGCTAAAAGGCGGAGCTTACCGAGACTTAACTCATGAAGAAGTGATACGCATGCGAGAGGCTTACCAACAGAAACTCCTTTTAGATAGACGCGTGCGCTGGCTCAAGGCCAGAGCCCTCCCAGACCCCGAAAGAGAAGCAGCAGCAATAATCAAACAGCACAGCAACCCTCAAGTAGGACGCTACTTGCTACTTCCCTGCTTGCTGAGAATGCTTTACTTCTTTATTCGCAAGCGTAGCGGCCTTCACACACACACGAATCCAGAACTTCTTCGCTCTCCGCGCTCCTGTACAAGTGTCGTGTAGCCCCTACTCAACTTTTCTTGGGTTATTGCCGCTAACCTCCTCCATGGCAATATCGTAATGCATGTTGAAGGCTGATGCATGCTTCATGGGACAGGGACTCTCTGGAAGTGCAACGGGATTGGTGTATATATGTATATATTTCTATTAGTCAGCCTGTGCTTGCGGCATAATGTAGGCAATGAGTTTCATGGATTGTTTGTGCTTCTCTTGGGCTTACAGACAGAAGACTCCCTTGTCAAGTCGTTGGGTATGGATGACGGTGTGAGGGCAGCGCGGCGCATAGTTCGAATGGAAGCAGATGCAGAGCGCCAAGAGCTGGCATCTCGCATAAGAGCAAAGATACGTGAGGAGAAACTTGCAAATGCAAAGCTCATGAAGGCTGCATTGCCAAATGTTCAAGGTAAGAACATGCGGGTGCTAGTGATCCCTATCCCATTTCAGCATCCGTCCATGACGAGGCAAATGCAGCATGCTCGGCGCTGAATCTTGTGATCTTCTCAGGCCAGATCATAGACCCCATAAAGTTCCACGTTGCCCGCAGAACCGTCCGCCAAGCTCGACTCTTGCAGTCGCAGTTAGAAGAGTTCCTCACTTGGAACTCTGCGGAGGTTCTCTACGGCCTCCTGGGTGGAGCTTCAGTTTCGATCCACCATGTGGAACAGCAGACGACCAGGTGACTCTGGGTACCTCGCCCTGTATTGGAACTATTCGGATTGTTGTGGTTGCCTGTGAAGTCCTTTTACTGAGTGATAGTGAAAACTGGCTCCAGCGTGTGACTGTCATGGCAGGTCAACATGTTACGTTTTCTTCACCGTCGCTTCTAGGCACGACCCCAAAGATGTCGAAGAGAAGCTGAACCGAGCAGCCCCTCATTTGCGAATGCAAATGGCAAGGCGTTTAGAACTAGGGTATACACCGCCATTTCGCTTCATACACCATTCAGAAGACGATTTATTCAACAAGCACAACCTTCTTAAATTGGCGAACGAACGCCCGTTACGAGATGGGAATTCGAGAAAACAGAAGCAACAAACTATTGCGACCACTTGGGGAGCAACGATGAAGGGGACTGCCTGAAATATGGCTTAACTACCTCACTGATGAGGTCTATGCATCTTTGAGTCGAATTTGTCTGGCATAGACTCATTCGAGCATTTTTACAATTTTTTGAGCTGAAAATGACTGTATAGATCGTGAAGTTTCAAATCTTCTTGCATTAATATCGGGAAACGTTTGTCCGGGACATGTTGGAATACCATGTGCACATCGACTGGAGCAACAACTCGAAACGTAAGATGTGCGTTTGCTGTTTAAAAATGTGGTATGCTGGGTTCGGTCCCACACGTGCGCGCACTTGCTCGACACATGCTGGCATTAACTGGGGAGCTTTGCGCCGTCCACAGTACTTCAGAATCACTGCTTAACCCTGTAGGAGCACTGCTAGCAGTTCAGCATTTTCCGTCACGTGTTTTCCCCCTTACCGGCCCCGATGGATGAAGGCTTGTCGAAACGGTCTCGAGTAGTCACGCACCAAAACCCTACGTGCGTCATTGCCATACCGTAAAACTCATGCCTAGTCAGAACTATCTCACCATTTTTCAAGCTCTGCTAGAATGACCACAGGGTCTCCGGGGTGAAGGATGGTGCCTTTCCACTTGCAGTAGCGGTCAACAGTTGCAGTTCTTCTCGCATACATTTTTGTATGCTTAAACATTTTTCTGAATGCATCAGGGACGGCCACAGTGGGTACGTATCCCAACTCGCCGCCTTTCGTGCGGCAAAATGCCCAGGAAGTGTTCTAAATTTGCGTTAAACGTTGGCAATTGGAAAGATCTTAGCGGGCAATGTAAACCATTTATCTCACCGTGACGGAAAACAGGAATACTTCATCTCCGCAATTCACGCTGAGAGTCCCTGGTTCGTCGCTCTCGTAATTTTGCTCAACAGTAACTAGAATATCCTGTGCTCAACGGGTGTTGCGGTGCGGCATACGTTGGGTAATGCTGCGAACTGACCTCAACTGCCCAATATTCGAATTCATGTGACGGATAACTTCTTTCAAACATGTTGATGGGCTCTTCATCAGACTGCGGCTCCCCTTTCGTGTCAACCCAGAGTTGCAGCTTCTTTTCAATCGCCTTGTCATATGCATTTGTTACGGCATTTGATGTCTCGACGGGGCAATTTCCTCCATTGTTGGTGATGCAAATATCTGCAGCCTCATGATCATGTTGGACTGCAAATTGATGGACTAGCGGATCTCCGAGGTCATGCTCTCCATCTGATGTGGTCGCATTGAAATGCATCTGGCTCTGCTCATTGCTCGCCGCAAATGTGGTCTTTTCACCTTGTAGGGCTTCCGCTGACTGTTGTTCGACCTCCCTAATTGCAGTTTCTTCACCAATTACAATGGGTGGTATATCGCCTGGCAGTTCAAAATGGCTTTCCAGTTGAGAACAATCGGGGGGTATACGCTCGTGCGTATTTTCTGTTGAAAGCGGCCTGTCGTAGTCTCGATTGTGGGGGAAATTCGATGGGTTTTCTGCGGGGCACAATTCGTTTTCTTGTTCCAGTCTCGTGGCCACAGAGATTCCACTATCGTCGGCGGAAGGTTCTCTAGCGGCAAGGCTATGTTTTTGAGCTTCAGCATCCGATCCTTCACTGCAATGCAAATAATGCCCCTGAAGATCCTTTCCTTAGGAAAAAGAATATGTTTAAAGTCAGCACTATCCCACCCTGGAAATCTCTGGCTGGTGCACTTCAGATTGAGCAGCTGATTTTATGCAATCAGCTGCCTTCAAGTGTTGCTGCTCATCGTGCAGGCTCGAACTGTGCTCCGCTGTTGTACCGATCATGTACAGAGTAGCACGAGAACGATGGGGCGACTTATTATCTTCATCATCATCCATGTTCTCTGCTTCAGGAAGTGAACTTGGACTTTCCCTCTCTTGGGTTCCTTCAGAGCCGATCGGTATGGCTGTGCTCCCCGTTACTTCATCTTCTCGCTGCGCAAAGTCAAGCGCATCTTCGCCTTCTTGCTGCCCAAAGCTAGCTCCAAAAATCTCCATGGCCGCCTCTAGAAGGTATTCTGGCTGGACCGTCCGCGATTGTCTCAGTTCCGAACGAAACAGCATCCTCAGTGCTGAAAAGGTCCGAAGGTCTACAATCCTGTTGGGGAGTGGGCTATGAATAACTGGGCACGCTTGTGTCATGGAAGTTTCTTCCTTACCACGTGCCGATGACGAACAACCCGGAGGTTTCTCCAAGTTCCAAACCGTCTGCCATCTCAAAGACATCGTACACCCTGGCGTCGGACGGGGCCAAAGAGACAATCCATCGGAATGCTTTCTAGGAACTCCCCATTGGGTTTTTGGTTAGAATGGAGCCTAATGTATACACATACGTGCTTGCGAACGGTGACATATCCGTAAGGACCCAATGCTCCATTACTGTAGGTATTGGCTGTGAGAAGCAATTGCGACAAGCGGGAATGCATTTTATTTACCTTTCGATACGCACAGCAGGAACGTTCCTAACAAGAAGAAGAGACGGTATCATATGCTGATCTCTCAAGCGCACGGCCTTCTCAAAGGCTTCGCCTGCACCGCGCAAGTCGACGGCAAGCCTAAAAGGTATAGTTAAAAATGCTGGGGTGTTGCTTTCACGAAGTAGCTCAACTTACTGAATTCTCGTGAAGACGAGGGCTAGCGTATCTTTTGCGAAATAAATGTCTTTAATGCTTTCCACATGGGGTCTAAACGAAGAGTTGAATCCTCTCGGCAGTTTGGGAAACTCTTGTTTGCACTCACCCGTGTAACAAGGGAGAGGAAACTTGAACTACCGAGTGGAACCCATCTGTCTGTGCGGCCACTGACGCCACACCTGCAACGCTATCCGCAAGGCTCAGTGCAGGCAGGTTGAAGTACGCCCAAAGGCATTGAAGACGCAATATTGAAGGCGAGTCCGAGTTAAGTTCCCTCCACACGTCAGATGATGTGTCTCCAGCTGCTCTGTGAGGGGATTCCTGGGCATTTCCCCAAAACGCGGGAAGAACTGGCCTCCCGTCTGCTAAGAATGTCATGTGCGAGCTGTCATATGCTTCAGGAAGAGGAGCCGAAGCGATCGTGCTCGACATATTCCTTATTTCCTCGGCTGCATATCCGGAATTGACCGCCTGTTCGTTGCTAATCTCCATGGAAGCCATCGTTTCATATGCGCGATTGCAATTATAATAATCTAGCGGCAAATTTGAGTGAGGGCGCGAGGCAAGCTCGATTTGGAAAAAACAGAACTTTCCAGAAGTGAATGCCGTCATCTACGGAAATTATTCCGCGCGTACGTACACCGCGCGTTTATGTCGTTGATGTTCAGCTCGCGCGTCACTTATTTTCTTTCTGACTGGTTCCAGCCTGCATCTCCTGTAGTACGTTGGTAGGAAATTCCATTTCCTATCGTATTGTTCTGCAATTTAGAACATATTTTGGGGTCGCCGTACGCCCCGCATGCGAAACTTGCAAAGATGAGTGTAAAGATCACCGTAACGAACGGTGCACATGCCTTATATTCGGAATACGGCTGACAAATACCCGAGAGTTTAGCGAAACTGAGGACCCATGTCGATATATTTCAACTTTGTCGTGAGCTTTTTAGTTCCCTTATGCCCCCCGTGCAATTTCGCGGTAGAACTTGCCGCAACGTGTGGACGCAGAGTAGATGCAGGTTGGATGTGACTGCCGCCGACAAACCATCCACGCTCAAATCTTGTTGAACACCCCTGACTCAATCGGTCACTCGAGGGTCATTTGGCCGCGCACCAACATTCCAGAAAGACGAGTAGAAAAGCGTTCGGTTCTTAAAGAATGTTCTCAAGAGGCTCTAGCCTAGCTAAAATGTTTCAGATTTTGGAACGCTTATTCTCTCAATAGCTGCGCCACCACGCTGTTGCATGTGAATGTTTGCTCCGTAGCCAGCTGGTCACAGCCTTGTCCCCCTTTTTTCAAGGTTGTTCGCGGGAAGTAACCATATTGTGCAGGATGTAGTATTATGGCTTGTATGACGTTGTACTGCCACTTGCGTGCGCGGGGCCTGCTTAGGAACAAGCAGTTGATTAGCAATTGTTTACGGCGTTACCGCATACGGCAACATGGGGCTTGGTGTAGATGAATATGTAACAGTTGGACTCTAGTGCAGCTCAGGACGGTCTTTCGCTGGCTAAAGTTGCAGACCGTCTTCACGTAGGATCTCTTTAAGTTCCGCTAACTGCAGTTTGTGAAATGGTCCACTTAACAACTGATGCATACTTTGTATAAAAACAACCAGAAGATTCGTTTGTTTTAGGTAGCCACCGCTAAAGCATATAACGTTGAGTAGTAGGTGGATATGCCTCAGTGGCAAATTGCTGGTATGAGGAAAGGGAGGAACTGACGCATTAGCGAAAAGCGGTGTGGTCACATTGACCGCTAGGCCGATAGCGTGGGGTGGCGGAAATGGGAGCGACAATGTGCGGATAGACTCAACTAGTGAAGCATTAATGGAAATGTGTTCTAGGAAGTGTAGTGAGATGAGCGTTCAGTTGGAGCAGAGGATCTAGAGCGGAATAATAGGGAAAGAATTTTCGAGCGCTATCGCTCCGGAGAAACATGGGTGAAAAAAAAGATTTAGCTGTTATATGGGTGGTATTGAGTTTATTACTTATTAGGGAAGGCGTGTAGGAGAGAGAAGAGGAGCGGTCTAGGTTGCAGGTTCATTGCTGGCGTGTACCTGGCCGGGCATGCGGCCGACGTTAACTGTCGCCGCGGGCTGCTGCTAGGCGGCGAAGGGCAGCAAAATGTGGACAGTGTGAACAACTTGGGCAAAGCTGGAAGGGGCGTTAACATGTTCATCGCATAAAGTTGTATAGTATTATTGGCGGCGTTGCAGGTGAAGGCTTTTTTCTGAATATGCTGCGTTGTGCCCCTCCTGCTGACTGTTGCTGCTCATTGGGCAATAGTCGTCTAGCCGCGAAACCTTCGTAAGATATTCGCTGTTTGTGCTCCCTAAGTTAATTCATGAGCTTTTTTTTGTGTTTATTGTTCCCTATAACTTTAATTTCAATGCATTTAAACGCCGCAGCGGCACCGACAGCAGCCCGTGCAGCTCTGGTCGCCTCGGCCTGGCTGCCGACTCCTGCGCAGCACAAGTGTTCAACTGCTACATTCTCTTCAATATCTTTAAATCAGCGCTAGAGAAGGCAAAAATACCCTTTAATTCTTCTTTTACGTGTCTATCATGGCTGCTACTGCCCCTTAATTGCTGCTTTCTGGTGGAGTCGCATGAAAGACGAACGCCAGCGACACCCGCAGCAGCTTTCGCCCCCAGCTGCGGCTCTGCGTGCAATGTTTAACTCATGCCCTTCATATTTTCTGCATTTGTTTCAGAGCTACGGACCAACAGGAAGAATCCAAGCACTCCCCTTGCAGCTCCAAACAAAGCAGCAACAGCAGCAGCAACACCACCAGCAGCAGCAGCAAACTGCTGCACACAGGATTGATGATGGCGCTTGCCGAGTTGAAGCAGAAAGTTATTCATGACTTAGGCCAAGAACATCTCTTCCCTCCTAATGCCTCACCTGAAGGTGCTGGGAGCTCCCAAGCCTCGCTTTCCCCTCTATGCTGCTCCTGCTGCTGTTGCTGCTGCTGCTTTCACGTGCTGCTGCCGCTTCCGGTGTAGTTTGGTGCTGCTGCTGTTGGCTGCCGCTGCTTGCTGCTACTGCTGTACCTTCCCCTCTGCGCCCCCCCCCTCCCCCCTCCCCCCAGCAGAAGACAATTATCTGTTGCATTTCCGGTGTGTGCATTTGTGTGTGGGTCCTTCGTTACGCTTTACATGCATAATGCATGTTTAATGCATAGCACGTAGCAGTTTTTTTCTCTCTGCTTTGCTTTAGTTTGAACGGGTCTCTTTGTATGTCTTATTTAGTTGTGGTTTCTGTTTGCATGGGTGCAGATGAGACGCGTCTGCTGCAGCAGCTAGCAGCAGCAGATGCTTCTTACCCTGGGGGTTTGGAGGCGTATATAAGACGGTCTCGCAAGCTGCTGGAGGATGTAAAGGCGGGAGTAAATCCTTTTGCTGGTTTGCACGTCGCAGTTCCTTCAGGCGAGCATCTGGTTCCGGGTTCTTCTTCTTTTATTGCTTATGAAGAGGAAGGGCTTCTGGAAGTGCAGAGTTGTGCATTTGTCTTCGTCGCTGGAGGCCTTGGAGAGCGGCTGGGGTATAACGGCATAAAGCTGAGTCTCCCAGTGGAGAGCTGCACTGAAACGAGTTATATTGAATATTATTGCAGCTTTATTCGCGCCTTTCAGGAGTATGCAGCAGCAAAAACAAAGAAAGCTGTGCACATACCTTTAGCGCTCATGACCTCCGCAGATACCCACGACGCCACGGTTTCGCTTTTTAAATCGAAGAACTTTTTTGGTTTAAATAAAGAAGAAGTATTTTTCCTTCAACAGCAAAAAGTTCCGGCGCTAGCAGATATGCAAGCACGCCTAGCTACGAATGCTAAAGATCCTTTTGTTCTAGAAACGAAGCCCCATGGCCACGGCGATGTACATTCTCTTCTTTTAAACTCGGGCCTTCTTTCTTCTTGGAAAGAAAAGGGAATTAAATGGGTTTTACTCCTCCAGGATACAAATGCAAATGTTATGAGGGTACTAATGGCAGTCGTCGGCGTCTCGAAACGAAAAAATTTCACCATGAATTCAATTGCTGTCCCCAGGTGTACATACACTCCAAATTATCACACACACAATCCTGAATAAAAGAGCATAGAAACACAATTAAATCCATCGAAATATAATCTAAAGACTTAATTTTACTCAATGCAATGCAAAATGCTGAAAAAACAAAATGTGCAACAACGTAAATAGAGTGAAAACAAACCAGGAAATCAAACAAAATACAAAGGAAAGCGAAGGAAATTAAAGGATTCAAGACAGAACAAATAAAGCAAAGCAAATACTAATTATGAATGCCTCAGCATAATATTATTCTTTTTTATTTTTTTGTTTTGTTTGCTTCATCAGACGACCCGGAGAGGCAGTTGGGAGTATTTGCCGTTTGGTTTCACAAGAAAAAGAATTAACAATAAATGTTGAGTACAACTTGCTAGACTCTCTCCTAAAGGTAATCCATTTGATTGCATGCATGCATTGATATACTTCTTTCTCTATGTTCTTTGTCTTATATATATCCTTTACTTGTTAGCAAAAGATACTTCTTTTACTGCATGCATGCACGCATGCATGCATGCGTTGTTCTGAATGCATTGTTATAGTTATTTCTCGGCCTGCTGCTGGCTTTAAGTGTATTTTTCTCTGCTTGTTCCTTAAGGATGTTCGCAAGTGTTTTAATGCATATATATTATATATATATATAATATATCTGTATTTGTATATACGTACATATATCTCTAATACCTATATATGTATATGTATGTACCTGTGTACATCTTTATTTGTGTGTTTAACTTGTATATATATATATATGTATGTATATATGGTGCATATGCAAACGTACATGTATATTTATGCATTTATTTATGCATGCATTCATAAATCTGTATTAATTTATATGTGCGTAGACGACGAACTCCGTTGGGCAGTTTGAATAGAATTATTTTAATATAATATAATATAATTTAATTAAATTGAATAAAATGTATTGAATTTTGTCTTTCTATAGGGGGCAGGCCAAGAAGGAGACAAAGCGGGGCCTTTGGGTTATTCATCTTTGCCCGGCAACACCAACGCCATCGTCTTGCAACTCTCTAATTATTTTAAAGCATTAAACCAAAGCAAAGGGATGGTCCCTGAATTCATTAACCCCAAATTCAAAGTACACATACCTTCTGCTGCTCCTGCTGTTGCTGCTGCTGTTGCTGCTGCTGCTGTTGGTGGTGGTCGTCGTCGTGGTGATGCTGCTGCTGCTGCTGCTGTTGCTGCTGTTGCTGGTGGTGCTGCTGCTGTTGGTGACGGTGCTGCTGCTGTTGGTGGTGGTGCTCCTGTTGGCATTGCTGGTTTTGTTGCTGCTGCTGTTGATGAATCTGCTGCTGGTGTTGGTGTTGCTGCTGCTGTTGTTGCTGTTGTTGCTGCTGTTTGTATTGCTGTTGCTAGTACGATGAAAACATAAATGCTTACAAGGGAGGAATATGTGAAAACGAATAATAATAATGAAGTATTGATGGCTTTGTTTTGTTGTTTTGTTTTGTTTTGCATTTATTTATTTTATTGATTTTATTTATATTATTTCTTTTGTTTATGGTAAGATGGGCGGTGCCCTTAAGAAGACATCTGTGCGTCTTTTTGTCTCGGTTTATTTACAGTTTGATGTTGCTGTTTTATTTATTTATTTCTTCATTCATTTAGTTTTATTTTTATTTGGTTTTTGCCTGTTTCCCTGTTTGCGTCTTCATTTGTTGATTTGTTAATATGTTGGTCTCTGTATTCACTTGTTTTTATCTTCTGTTGATTGAGTTATCTGTTTGTTTATTTGTTTATTTGTTATTTATAATTTATTTATTTACGTTTTTCCTTATTTACTCGTTTGTTTACCGGTTTAATTATTTATTTATTTATTTGTCTGTTTATATTTTGACTTACAATTTATTTATTTGCCTATATATTTGTTTATTTATTCATTTGTTTGTTTATTTATTTAGGACGCCACGAAGACATCGTTTAAATCCCCGGCCCGGCTTGAGAGTATGATGCAAGACCTTCCTCTTCAGCTCAACCCCACAGACAAAGTGAGGCAATTAATAACCAAAAAATATCCACAGCCAACAGCGCAACAGCAGCAGCAGGAGCAGCAGCAGACCAGCAGCAGCAGCAGCCGCAGATGAGCAGCACAGCGGCAGCAGCAGGCAAGCGGCACAGCAGCAGCAGCAGCAACAAATCAAGTTCAGGCCTTCACGGGGCCATCCACAGGGATTGTGTATGCAAATATGCATGCAGCATGCATGCACGCATGCATGCAGGAAGAGGACGCCACTGTGCCTTTTCGACGTTGTTTGTTTCGCTCTTTTCTTTGAGATTTGCGTCTATAATGCAATTATACCATGGGAATATGCATAATTTATATGCGCATATACATATATATAGAAGTATATATATAGTGTATATATATATACTTCTATATATAATTTACGTATATGTTTATACATATGTACCCATATAGTGTATATATATATATATATATATATATATATGTGTGTGCGAATCTACATATACGGTTACAAATTGAGAGCCTCTTGGAGTTGTTCATTTTTTCAGTTTGTTTATACTTGCTGCATGCATTCGTACACGTGCTTATTGCTGCTGTACATTTGTTTATAATTACGGTAGAGGTGTTTATGTTTGTCTGCGTTTGCTGCCTTTCTGTGTATTTAATTGCTTATTATTATATTTTATTATTATTATTATTTAGGCTAATAGCGTGCAAAACGACAAAAAGCGAGGAACAGCACAATCAGCAAAACCATCAACCGAAAAAAGCAGAAAAAAAGAGGCCATAAATATAAAACATATTTATCGATATGCATCTATATAGCCACTTTATATCTGCATCTATGTATATGTATACGTGCATGTATATGGATATGAATATATATATACATATATTATGTATTTATATGTATACAATGTATGTATATATATATGTATATATATGCATATATATGTATATATATACATGTATATATGCATATGCATATGCATATACATATACATTTGCATATGCATATACATATACATATACATATGCATATACATATGCATATACATATACATATACATATGCATATACATATGCATATACATATGCATATACATATACATATGCATATACATGTACATATACATATACATATACATACACATATACATATGCATATACATATACATATACATATACATATACATATACATATACATATACATATACATATACGTATACATATATATATATGCATATACATATATATATACATGTATATGTACATGTATATGTACATGTATATATACATGTATATGTATATGTATATATACATATATATATGTATATATATATGCATATATATATGCGTATATGTATATGTATATGTATATATATATGTATATGTATATGTATATGTATATGTATATTTATATGTATATGTATATGTATATGTATATGTATATGTATATGCATATGTTTATGTATATGTATATGTATATGTATATGCATATGTATATGCATATGTATATGTATATGTATATGTATATACATATTTATATGTATATGCAAATTGCTGATAGGGTTGTGTGTTTGATTTGTTGCAGGTGGGTTTTGTTGAGCTGCCTCGCTGGTGTTGTTTTAGCCCAGTGAAGAACTCGTTAGATGAAGCCAGAAGAAAAACAGAAAACAAATTACACCCGGAGTCGGCTATCAGCGGAGAAGCGGATTTTTATTTTCAAAACGCACAGTGGTTGCAGCTTGCTGCAGCTGATGCTGCAGCTGCTGCGGATGCTGCTTCTGCTGCTGTTTCTGCTGATGCTGCTACTGCTGGTGCTGCTGGCGAGGGAAGCAGCAGCAGCACCAGCAGCACCAGCAGCAGCAGCATGAAGTTGGGGGCCAAGGAGGTGACGATAGCGGAGCCGGAGTTGGTTTGCTTTGAAGGCGTTCGATATAAAATGGGGCCTAAGGTGGTGCTTTCGCCTTCGTGGGCGGTGTCAATACAGCAGATGAAGGAAAAACTAAACGGAGCTTCTGTTCGCATTGAAAAAGAGTAAAAATATATATGCGTTTGTTTGCTAAGTTGTTTTGTTAAATTGGTGTTGAGTTGCGTTCTTCATTGTTTATTTGTTTGTTCAGCTGTTGGTTTAATTGTTTTGTTCGCTATGCGCTTGTTTGTTTGTTTGCCTGTTTGTTTGTTTGTGTTTGTTTATTTGTTTGCTCGTTCGTTTGTCTATTTATTTGCTTGTTTGCCTCTCCCGCACATCGTGTTTGTTTATTTGTGTTTTTGTTTATCGGTGGAGTTTCCGAATTAACTCTGAATATTTCTTTGCTTCGTTGTTTGAGCTGTGTTTATTTTGCTGTTTGTGTATATTCAGAACATGTCCTTGTGTTTGGTTATTTGTTTGTTTGCGTGTTTGCATGCATGCATCTCCTTTGTTTGCTTTCTTATCCGTTTGTTCGCTCCTTTGTTCACTTGTTTATTTTATTTCTTTGATGGTGTATCTGTTGGTTTACCTATTTGTCTATCTACTGGCTTGTTTGTTTATTTGTTTGTTTACTTGTTTATTTATTTGTTTTTTAATTTATATATGAACTTCTTTTTCTTTGTTCCTGTTTCAGTTCGGTGTTGATTATTTCGGGAGACGTTCAAATAAAGAATTTAAAAGTGGACGGAGCGGCGGTGTTGAAAGCAGAAGAAGGTGCGCCCGTTTTCAAGTTGGGGTGTATATGCAGCTCGTTTAGTAACTGCCTATACACCCCGTGTATTGATTGATTCAGTTCCTGTTCTTCATTTTTATTCGTTTGCTTGTTTTGTTTTCTCTTTTTCGCTTGTTTGTTTGTTTGTCTTTTCGTTTGTTTGTTTCGTGTTTGTTTGTTTTGTTTTTTGTTTGTGATTATATGCATGTTGTACGGTTTCAGTTTTTTGTTTTCTGTCTGTTTCTCCTCGCTGTTGATATCTTTTTCTTTTCTTTTTCTATTTTATTCTTTAGTTTTCTTTCCTTCTGCTGCAGGCGCCTCGTTAGTCATCGAGAATCTTCAGGTGACGAACAAAGGCTGGAAATTTGAATCGGTCTCAGCCGAGAAAGGTGGTTCGGCTGCTGCAGCTCTGCGTGGTTTTACAGTGGAGAGGGAGCAGACAGAAGAAATTATTGCTCTCAAAGGAGAGAAAGAAGTTGTTAACAGGGAATAAAGCAAATAAACTGAATTAGAAGCAAAGCAAATACGCACAAATAATATAACAAAGAGCCAAGAAAACACTAATACACAGAACTCGCACACACAGACACCACCGCAGCGCCTCTGCACGTAAAAGAAGAAAAAGAAGAGAACGGGGGGAATGCAAGATAAACGCAAAAGGTTCCGCAGCAAGACACGGGAGGACAACAGCTACATCAATAAACAACAGAAACGAAAAGCAAGAAAGAGCAGACAACACACTAAACAAAGGACAGCTGTTGGATGCAACTTACTGGGCTGCAAGCATTACCACAAACAAATCCACAAAAATATAAAGAATGTGTATTTCTATTCGTATGTATATATGTACATATATAATATATATGTATATGTATTACATATATGCATCTCTATATGTATGTATATGTATATGTATATACTGCATTATATAGAGCATGCAACACTAATGTGCGCAGCGCATATAGTGCATATGGGCCAACTAACGCAGCGAAAATCAGAAGAAAATTCTTTTTAAAAGTTAATAGGCAAATGTAATAAACAAATGCAATATACAAATGTAATACATAAATGTTCTTAACAAACGTAATATACAGATTGGTCTCTCTCCTCTCTTCGCTGTCTCCTCTTTGTTTTTTTTAAACCGCCGCCGCCTCTGCATGCACAGCGCAACGCAGCGTACAACAACGAAGCAGAATGATGCACTTGCTGCTGCTGCTGCTGCTGCTATTGTTGTTGTTCGTGTTGCTGTTGCTTCTGCTCTTGGTGCTGTTGAGGGCGGTGCGTTGGGGTGTACAGACGCAGCAAAGTGTCTGAAAGACGGCGAGAGGGGCCCAAGGTTCTTCTTCTTTATTTAGGTGATGCAGGTCTTAAGAGGTCCCCTTCTTCTGCTGTAGTCTCTACACAAAAAGTGCATGCAATAAGGAAATAAGTTAATTAAATTAATTATTTAATGAATTAGTTTAATTAGTAGATTAATTAGTTTAATTAATTTAATTTAGTATTTAGTTCATTTAACTAATAAATTAATTACTGGATGCCTGTCAGCAAACGCACCAACTGAATTAATAGCTGTCTGCTGCCGCTGGAAAGAAATCCATCTGAGTGTACAAACAAATAAATAAAACAAAATAGATCAAGCAAGTATGTTAAATATATTTATTAAATTAAATTAAATGAACAGCCAGGCAGATGGACGGCGACTTCTTGCAGTAGAAAGCGAGGAAAGATTACAACAGCATTTAAACGCACCTGCAGCACAAGAGTCTTTCGTGAGGCGAGGGCTTCTATCTGTTGGTTTAGTGGTAAGTACAGAGAGGGTTTAGGGTTTAGGGTTTAAGGTTTAGGGTTGTTGTTATCGAGTATAATAAGCATAATCAGAAGACAGACACGGAGCCATGCAAACAAGAAAAGCAGAGAGTAAAGAGACAAAAATACAGCGAAAACAACAAATAAAGGATCAAACGCAGAGACTCAACCAAACACCAACAGAATTAAGAGACAGAAACAGCGGCAAACTCCGCAGACCGACATAGAAACCGGCAACAGCAAGTAAAAGGCCAGCAGCAACACCAGCAACAACAGCAGCAGCACCATCACCAGCAGCAGCAGCAACAGCACAACAAACAAGCCACAGCCGCAAGTATCACCTTGGGTAGATACGCAGCAAATTCTGATTTAAGTTTTTCAAGTGAAGAGCCGGGGCGGCCTCCTTCCCTCAGGAGCTGCTCCAAAGAACCGCCCAACTGCAGCTGCAGTTGAGCAGGAGGAGGAGGAGGAGGCGAAGGAATTTCTTCTTTCTGCGGCTCCTCGGGGCCAGCGACTATAAACAGCAGACGATGATAGGGATAGCAATCGTAGAAAGAGATGAAATGCATATACAAATATGTATATTTATGTATATAGGGATATGAACATCTGTTTATTTATTGCATATTTCGTTCCAGTTCGACTCACTGACGGGGCCAAAGTCGTTAGGCAGCATATCTGATGAACAGAAAATGAAATGATGAATTATTTTTTCATGTTTCCATTGACGCCTACCCAACACTTCCGGGTGTCTAGGCACATAGTGGAGTTCAGAAGCGGGAATATTAAAATTCTTCAGAGCTGCTGCATTTCTGGCGGTGATTAAATGAAAAAAAGATAATATTAAACATTTTATTGCCATTTTTCGTCCTTAAGACGCCAACAGTCAGAGAAAAATGCAAACGGAAGGAAACTTACTTAACAGTAGTCGCGCACAAACGTTGAGGTGTCTGTACACCTCATAATGCAGATATAAGGAGGAAACAAAAGCAAAGGAAGGCAGCAGTTTCTGTTGCAGATAAACCCAATGAATATTATTAATTTCATTTAAATGCTGCATTGTGACGGTACCTCTAACGGCCTACCGAACAGATAAAAACAAGAGTTGCAGATACACCCGAAGCCCCTTCCTTGTTGCTTCTCTCCTGCCGTTTCTGCACTTTTTCCATTGCAATTTAATCGAAATACACCAAATGCAGAAATTAGAAACCCTAACCCTAAACCCTAAACCCATTAACTTTAAAGCCGAAGCAAAAATAACGAGAAGATGGTTTGCGCCAAAAAAGCAAATAAAGCGCATGCAACGATTTCTTCTGTTTATTCTTTATCCTGTTGTGACTATCCTTTCGTTAGTACTGCTTCTAAACGCTCCCCCCTTTAAATATTAATCCATCACTGCTATATCTATCCATCATCACTATTAAGATAAGATGTACTGTGTGCAGATGAGAATGAGATCTTTACTTGTTTGTACGTTGCGATGTGTCTATACACCTGAACGCCCGTGGAATTCGTAGAAAAAAAAGAAAGAAAAAACAAAGCAGCAGTCTCCCTGTTTGCCTTCGTTCGCTGCGTTTAATAGAGAGACAAATAAACAACAGCAAGGAGGCCTAGGGTCTCCCTGCACGCAATCTGTTGCAGTTGATGTACGGGCGAGAGAAGCAGACAAGAGAAAAGAAGTAAAGCGCGCTTCTTCTCTTTACTTTTAATATATACGCAGGGGCCCCTCCTCCTCTCAGCCCGGGCCGTGGCGACTCGCCAATGCCGCTGCACGCGCAGCTCTCTCCGCCAACCCAACAGACAGACAGCAGGCTTACAATATTATATATATATATATATATATGCTTATACTTCTATATGCTTTTATGCATATACATACTTATATATACTTATATATACTCATACACATATGCATATATATATATATATACATACATCTTTGTAGAGGCCTAATATATATATTATATATATATATATAATAGACCTGTACATGTACATATAAATGCATATGTATTTATATATGAATAGATATATAGATATAAACAAGCATACATACATACATATATACATATATATATATATATATATATATTAGAATGAGGTGTACGCGTTGTGTCTGCTGCCTACGCCGCCCGCAGCAGAAATACCGCTGCAGCAGCAAATGCCTTTGTCTGCCTCGCGTAGCAAAACATAAAGACAGACAAAAATACGATAAAAAAGAAGAGTGCATGAATTTAACTTTAATTATTATTATTACTCTCTCTTCTTTGTGCTTCCTGAATTACTCGCGGCATTTGCGCTCAAGGCAGACTGCCGCCTTCCAGCTGCTGCAGAGGACGGTGCAGCAGCAGCAGCAGGAACAGGAAGAGCAGCAGCAGCAGCAGCAGGAGCAGCAGCAGCAGGAAGAGGAGGGGCCCCCCATATCCCAGAAGAAGACTGAGGCGCGGAGTTATTTTTATGTTGTTCTCTGCGTCTGTGGCGGCGTGGGGTCCAAGGCGCTGAGAGGGTAGTGTGCTGCGTATCTTGTTGCTGCTGCTGCAGCTGCTGCTGCAGCTGCTGCTGTTGCTGCTGCTGCTGCTGTTGCTGATGCTGGTGCTGCTGCCGCTGCTGCTGGTGCTGCGCTTGGAAGATCCTCAGACAGACCTCCTGCTGCAGCAGCTGCCGCTCCAGCACCAGCTGCTGCTTCAGCAATCTCCTCCTCGTTGACGGGGTGTTTGTTGCTGTGCATCGAAGGCTTTGAACAACTGCTACGGGGCCTCTGCCTTTGCTTTGTCTAAGACGTGAAACTAATGCTCGTCTGCTGCTGCTACCTGGGGCTTGAGTGGAGGTCCCTTCTGCTGCTGCTGCTGCTGCTGCTGCAGACGCTGCTGCTGCAGATGCTGCTGCTGCTGCTGCTGCAGCTGCTGCTGCTGCTGCTGGCGTTCCTCCACGTGTCCCTCCTCCTGAAGCACCCCCAGCAACCCGTAGTCTCCCTGATCTTCTTTCTCTGCTGTTAAGCCGCAGCATATGAAGCATATACTCTTGCTGCTGCTGCTGCATTAGGTGCAACTCTGCTTGCCGCTTCAGCAGCTGCAGCAGCTGCTGCTGCCGCCCAGAAGTTGTGAAGTCTCGCAGCAGCATTTGATTAAATAAATGAGAAGCAACTCGAGGCAAAGAGGAGCAAGAACGTTTGCGCGGCTTGCTTGGTGCTGCCAGTTGCTGCTGCCGCTGCTGGTGGTGGTGATGGTGCTGCTGCTGGTGCTGCTGCAGCTCCTGCTGCAGCTCCTGCTGCAACTCTTGCTGCAGCAGCAACTGCTGCTGATGCTGCCGATGCCTCTGCCATTCAAGGTGTGGATTTTCTGCACGGCGGAAGGTGCGTCGCATCCCTCGTTCGTGTGTGCGCTGCTGCTGCTGCTGCTGCTGTTGCTGCTGCTGCTGCTGCTGCTGTTGCTGCTGCTGCTGCTCCCTGCGTCTGCCTCTCATAGCGCTGCTTCTTGTTGCTGCTTGCTTCCCTTTTACTGCTGCATCATCTTCTGCTTCATAACCTGCCTCCATACCTTCTCTGGGGGACAGTATAGAAATAGAAGAGCTGCGGCTGCTGCAGTTGCTGTTGTTGTTGTTGCTTCTGCTGCTGCTTCTGCTTCTGCTGCTGCGTCTGCTGCTGCGGCTGCAGTAGCCTTCATCTCCGCTCTTCCAGCTCTCGCTGCTGCAGTACCTCACGTTGCTGCCGTTGCTGCTGTTGCTGCTGTTGCTGCACACCACATCACTTGCAGCATCCTCTAAGACGCGCAGCATTAAACCCGCAAGCAACGGAGGGTCTACCCAAGGGCTTCTGCTGCTGCTGCTGCTGCCGCTGCTTCCCTCTGCTGCTCTTAAGATGCAGCTGCATGAATCTGCTGCTGCTGCTGCACCAGCGAAGAGACCCGAAGCATCCGTTCCACACAAACTCGGCGCAGAAAAAGAGCGTCTGCATCAAACAAATAAACAAATATAAATAAATAAATAAATAAATAAATAAATAAAAATTAATAAACAAATAGACAAAACAAAATAAACAGTAAATGCAAATGCAAAGAAACCCTTACAACACAAACGAAGAAGAAAATTAATAAACAGCAAAAATAAAATAAACAAACAATAAATACAAAATAAACAATAAAATAAATAATAAGCAATAAACAAATAATAAATTATAATATAAATAATAAACAATTGTAATAAATAATAAATAGCTAATAATAATAAGCACACTAAGTAAAAGAAGACAGGCGGAGGCCGGTGATGCTGCTGTTGCGGGTAATAATAAACAAAAATAAATAAAAAGGAGATAAAAATAAATAAATAAAAAGAGAATACAAAAATAAATAAAAATAAGATAAAATAAATAAAATGAAGATAAAAACAAACAAAAAATAAATAAAATGAAGATAAAAACAAACAAAATAAATAAAATGAAGATAAAAACAAACAAAATAAATAAAATGAAGATAAAAACAAACAAAAATAAATAAAATGAAGATAAAAACAAACAAAAATAAATAAAAAGACAGCAGCAGAAACTAACCTGAAGAGGGCAGTGAAGGCAAAAGGAGACTCCGGGCACTCTTCTGCTTTGAAAGGGTCTCTCAAGGTTTGCTGCTGCTGCTGCTGCTGCTGCTGCTGCTGCCAATTGCGTGTGCTGCTGCTGCGCGTCTGCTGGAGCTTCTCTTCTTCGGTGGTGATGCCTTCTCCCTCATGCTGCACTGTAATGAGCAACGAATCCTCTTCTTCTGCTGCTGTTGCTGCTGCTGCTGCTGCTGCTTCTGGGGGTGCTGCTTGTGGCGCTGCTGCTGCTGCTGTTGCTGCAGAAGGCAAGAGAGAGATATGCAAAGCGTTTTGCTGCTGAACACCAGAGACAGGCGACGGCTTCACAGACCCTGGAGACGCTGGTGCTGCTGTTGCTGCTGCTGCTGTTGCTGCTGCTGCTGCTGCCGCTGCTGCTGCTGCTACTGGGGTTGCAACGTCACCAGACAGCAGCAGCTCAGCAGCAACTGAAGGCGAGCCTTCCTGTTGTGGAGTGTAGCAAGCAGGAGAAGCAGCAGCAGCAACTGCAGCAGCAGCAGCAGCAGCAGCTGTTGCCTCTAAAGAGCAAACGTCTAAAGAAAGCTGCTCCCTGTGGCCTTCAGTAGCAGTAGCAGCAACAGCAGCAGCAGCTGCTGCTGCTGCTGAAGGCAGCAGCAACTGTTGGCGAATATCTCGTGCTGCTGCTGTTACATCTGCATCAGAAGAAGGCCGTCTGCTGCTTTGTACCCTTTCTACCGCTGCTGTTGCTGCTTGTGTTGCTGCTGCTGCTGCCGCTGCTGCTTGTGTTGCTGCTGCTGCTGCCGTTGCTGCTTGTGTTGCTGCTGCTGTTGCTGCTGCAGGGTGTTGCTGCAACTCCTGTGTTGGGCCTTCTGCTGCATCAGCAGCAGCAGCTTTCACTGAAGAAGCAACGGCTGCCTCTATCAAAGAGGCCGTCGCAGCAACCACGGGGGCTGCCGCTACTGCTGCTGCTGCTGCTGTTGCTGCTGCTGCTGCTGCTGTTGCTTCTGCTGCTACAGCTGGAGTCTCTGCCGGTGATGCTGCTGTTGCGGGTTCTGTTGAGGGCTCTTTCTGCTCTCCCTTGAGCTCGGATGCTGCTTTAAACCCTGTTGCTGCTGCTGCTGCTGCTGCTGCTGTTGCCGCTGTTGCTGCTGCTGCTGCTGTTGCTGCTGTTGCTGCTGCTGCTGCTGAAGTCTTAGGAGAAAAGTCCGTTACAGACGGCGTGACGTCCCCAGGCGAAGCAGCAGCTGTATCCCATAACTGCTGTTGCTGCTGCTGCTGCTGTTTCTGCTGCACCTCCTCGTCAGGAGCACCGCTACGTTGGCGCTGCACTTTGCTGCTGCTGCTTGCTGCTGCAGCAGCAGGAACAAGTTGCTCCCGATCTCCCTCCTTGCCCGGCAGCACCAGACCTTGTTGGAGCTGCGCATGTTTGTGGGGTTGAAGACGATCCCCGGGACGATCCCCAAGGCGATCCCCAGAGGGGCGACGATACCCCACACGATCCCCCACACGATCCCCACCACGATCCCCAAGGAGGAGACGATCCCCCAACTGGTCTGCAGCAGATTCATCTTCGCGGGAGGGGGAACAGGAGACAGTACGGGGTAAGCTGGCAACGAGGGAACCTTTTGCTGCTGACGCAGCAGCAGCAGCAGCAGCAGCAGCAGCAGCAGCACAGGGAGTAGCAGCAGCAGCAGAACGGGGCGTAGCAGCAGCAGCAGCAGCACGGGGCGTAGCAGCAACAGGAGAAACTGAAAGCGATGTGCGGTATTTGCTTCCATCCTCCCAAAGAGAAGAGATCAATCCACCTTCAACTGCTGCTGGTGCTGCTGCAGCTGCTGCTGGAGTAGCTGCTGCTGTAGCTGCTGTTGCTGCTGGCGGCTCCCAGTCTAGCGTGAGGTTTACTGTGGCTTCTTTTTGTTTCTCTTTTTCCTGTTTGTTTTGCTGCTGCTGCTGCTGCTGCTGCTGCTTAGCCGCTGCAGCAGCAGCAGCAGCAGGTAAGGGTAGAGGAGGGGCTGCTGCTGCTGCCTGGCAGCTCGCCAGTAGCGTTTCTAATCCCCCAATTAAATTGCGAAGACCAAACAGATATTCTTCATCAGGCGAAGGGTTGTCTGTGAAGCAAACGCAAGAAACACGCAATAACAGCAACTCAATCAGCAGCAGCAATAACAGCACCAGCAACAGCAGTTGTTGCAGAACTACAACGACAGCAGCAGCAGCAGCAGCAGCAGCAGCAAGAAAAGCAGCAGCAACAGCACAAGCAACAGCAGCAGGAACAGCAGCACAAGCATCACCACCAACAGCCGCACAAGCAACAGCAGCACAAGCAGCAGCAGCAGCAGCAGCAGCAGCAGCAGCATAAGCACTAGAGTACCTTGGAGGTAGATGGTGTTCGCGAAGTCTATCATGCGAATATCCAGCGATGATTTTCGCGCCTCTGCGTCCGTCAGCCCGCCGTCGTAAACCCACAACAAAGACGAAGACCAAAACCGGTAGTGTTTCAAACGCTCCACGCCTATAGACAAACAAACACATATTTAAATATATAAATATATATAAATATATATATATTATGTTTATATTCATTTGTTATAGATGCTTATATACATATGTACATCTATGCATATGCTTATATATTTAAGTATGTTTATATATACATATATATACATATATATATACATCTATGTATATATACGTACATATAGGGATATAAATATGTATATCTCTATATATGCCTAAATATAATCTACAGATATATATATATATATATTAATATAAATCTATAGATATATATATATATATTTATATATATATATATATATACGTACAGCGGTAGAAGAGGGTGAGTTTGGCCATGAGGCAGGGGATGAGATCTTCGTAGAGCGAAAAGCCGTTCCAAAACCACTGACGAATCGCCTGCGGCACTTTCTCTGAATTCGCAAACGAAGCAATATATATATATATATATGTATGTATATTTATATTTATATATGTATATATATATATTTATATATATTATATATATCTAAACTTATTTATTATTTATTTATTTGTTTATGATTTATTTATTTATTATTAGGTAAATAAATAAACTGATTAATTAATTTGTTTATTTAGTAATACACTAATTCAGAAGCAGCAGCAGCAAAAAGCAGCAGCATAACCACCACGTACAGCAGCAACATCCAGCAGCAACAGCAGGAGCACCATGTACAGCAGTAGCAAACAAACAAAAACTACAGCAGCAGCAGCAGCAGCAAGTCCAGCAACAGCAGCAGCAGCAAGATGAATTACCCTTTGTGAGTTTTCTGCCCCAGTATTTGTCTCTGTAGCAGAGAGTATCTGTCTTCTTGTTGTAATACTGACAAACAAACAAACGAACAAACAAACAAAGCACCATGAAACCCTCAGTCGCAGCAACAAACAAAACCCTAGCAGCAGCAGCATCATCAGAAGCAGCAGCAGCATCATCAGAAGCAGCAGCAGCATCATCAGAAGCAGCAGCAGCATCATCATCAGCAGCAGCAGCATTATCATCATCACAAGCAGCAGCAGCAACATTATCACCATCATCAGCAGCATTATCATCATCAGCAGCAGCATCAGCAACACCACCGCAATCACCATCAGCAGCAGCACCATCATCATCATCATCATCATCATCATCAGCAGCAGCAGCAGCAGCAAAAGCATCGTAACCAGATAATGATAAGGCTGCATAGCTCTGGTGTAGATAATTACCTGACATCCGCATAATCTAAACCCAAGAGCATGGCTGGTTGTCTCTAAGCTTTTTAATTTTTGTCGCTGTTCTTTTGCTGCATCTGCACCGAGTGTACGCTGTCTCGTCCCCATCTTCAAGTCTAATACGCACGGCTTACGAAATCCAAACACCAAATCTTCTAACACTATATGCTTACGCACACTGTAACTGCTGCTGCTGCTGCTGCTGCTGCTGTTGGTGTTGCTGCTGCTCGCGGTGCTGGTGCTGCTGCTGCTGCTGCTGCTTGTTGTGTTGTTTTTGCTTTTGTTGGTGGTGCTGTTGGTTGGTGTTGCTGCTGCTGCTGCTGCTGATGCTGATGCTCCTGATGGGGCGCGGCTGCTGCTGCGGCTGGCATTTGCTGCTGTGCTGCTTCGGCTGCTGCTGCGGGCCCCATAGGGTACAGCTAACCCCCCTAAGGGGGCCTCCTCTACAAACGCTGCAGCGCTCGGACGCCTGCTGCTGCTGCTGCTGCTACTGCTGCTGCTGCGCCTGCTGCCGCTCGCAGCACCAGCGGCCTCCTCTGCAGGCCCACACGACTTCACCGCCAACGCGTAACACCCCTTACTGCTGCTGCTGCTGCTGCTGCTGTTGTTGTTTTGGTCTGGGGATTGCCCGGCTGTGGCGTCTCTACTGACTGCAGCATCGACGGCAAGGGGTCCCCTGAAGTCTCCTGATTGCTGCTGCTGCTGCTGCTGCTGGTGTTGCTGCTGCTGCTGCTGCTGCTGCTGCTGGTGGCTGCCTCTTCTGTGTGGCTCCCAGTCTTGCATCGTAGCATGCAAGACTATCTCCGTAACTCCGTAGTACTTTGGCACAAACTGCTTTAAGATGTGTAGAGGCCCCGCTTCCGCGTTGGGGGCACCCAGAGAAGCTAACTTGTCATAGAAACGATACTCATTTTCATTTAAGGGTTTGCAAACTTTAGAGGAGTCTTTCGGCTTTAGAAGACGGCAGTGTCCCCCCACTTGGTGGCGATACGCCTCCACGTGCATTGCTACTGCTTATGCTGCTGCTGCTGCTGCTGCAGCTCGTGCTGCTGCTGCTGAGAATGATGATGATGATGGTGCTGTGGCTGTGGCTGCTGCTGCTGCGACGAAAGGCTGATCTCCCGCTGTACAGACAGCAGCCGCTCAGCAAAAATACCCCCACCCGGCTCTGTCTCCTCCAAGAAAACCCTAATAGCGCGCATTCCTTTCAGGAGTTGTTTGTGACCTCCCTCCTCAAACGGCAGCAAAAATGCAGCCTCCTTCCACCTGCGGTGTACGTACACCGCAATTCTTACTCCTTATTGTCAGCCTGTGCTCGCCTGGGAGTCCCACCACTTCTTTTTCGTTATCTTTTCTTCTTCTAAACTCCCTCAAGACTACTAATATGCGGTGGGGTGTACAGACGGAACGGAGCAGTAGCGGCAGCCACGGCCGACAGAAAGCGGAAAGCTGCTCGCTTGTAATCTCTCTACGTTGAAGCAAACGGATGCGCTCACCTGTGAGGCGCTGCTGCTGTTGCTGTTGCTGTTGCTGCTGATGCTGCTCTCTCAGCTTCCTCTCGGCTGAGCTGCCTCTACACCTCAAGGAGCAGCACGAGCCAGTGGCGACGCGTCGGGCAGGGATGTAGGGGGTTTGTTTGTGCGCCAGCCCTCAGTTCAGAGGCAAGCCGTCTGCACACCAAGTGGGGGTAGCGAAAGCTGAGGAAAGTAGAAACAGAAGAAAAAGAAGAAAAACCCTCAAACGCCGATGGCAGCCAGAAAGGAAACGGCAGACGGTGGTGTCCTATAAAGAACAGAGGATCCCCCTGACACGGAAGTAGAAAGCGGGTTTTTGCAAAGGAATAACAGAAATGGGAAGGATTCCGATTTGGGGTGTACGTACACCTCAAACGTGAATGAGTAAACCACGACAACATACAACGGCACGGGGAAGGAGTGCTGGGGAATACAGTAGAGCTCTCTTTTTGCCTTAATAGATATAAGGAGCAAAGATGCAATCGAAACCTAAAGGAATACTACGAATAAACACTTTCCATAAAGAGGAGCTGAGGAACTCTCAGTCGCGTATCTGGGGTGTACCGGCAGCTGAGAAAGCGGCTGCAGGCGGCGCACTCAAAACCGCTTCCCCATCATGAATAAAACGTTCATTAATTCTCTTCTTCTTTGAAAATTATCAATGTAAACTTCATTTCCCTTCTTTCCAATCAACAACTTGTCCCAGTTTCGTTCTTTTCCTTCAGCTTTCCTTCAGCGGCCCACCGGCAGAGTCGGCGGCTCCTCCCTCTCTAGACCGCCTACGAGTTGAACACCGCATCTTTTTCAGGAATTAAATGAATTAATACATTTAAAATGGGGGATTTAACAAAGACAAACCCTCAGCTAACCCCTGTGGAGAGCCTTAGGGCAGCCATCCTCATAGAAGAGGCCCTGAAACAGCTCTCCTTTGTAGGCAAACTGTCGAAGGAACAGAGGGCAAACAAAGACAGCAAATTCGCGGCGTATAGAGGTGATGAGATCATCCGCATCATAGACGAGCAGCAGGAACTGCAGCAGCAGTACGCAGCAGCAGCCTTCCTTTTAATCATTTCTACACAGAAAACCATACTATCTATATATACATCAGCTGCTGCGCCTCAACCCATTCTGCTGCTCGTGCTGCTGCTGTTCCTGCTGCTGTTGTCGCCTGCATGGACTCCAGCGCCGCCCATGGGGCTGTGGAGGCCTCTGTCTTCCTCTGTCTTTCTCTCACGTGATGCTAATAAAGCACCTAGCTAGCAAGAAGTCTCCTCATAGCTAGCTGTGCATCACCCCTGGCTAGCTAGCTACAGATGCGCCTAGCTAGCTACAGCCGCTGCTTAACTAGCGACGAAGGTCCCTATAGTTGCACGCTAGGGGAATGAGGTGTGCATACACCTCAGTACAGGCCGGATTAGTATGCAGGAGTTTCTAAATAGCAAACAAGCAGAATAAAGAGTAAAGAGAGGCTTAAACAGGTGATAGGTGCAGCAACAAAAGAAAGGAAGACAGCACACCCGCATGCAATAACAATAAATATACCGAGTTGTATATCTGTGAAAGAAACTCAACAAGAAAAAACACAAGAAAAAAGATAAAAGAAAGAGTTATTTATGAATTAAATAAGGCTAATAGAAGTCAATTAAATAAAGACAAGCAACAAATAATACAAACAAATAGGGAGAAAGCTAAGCAATAGTAATAATAGCAGTAATAGTAATAATAATAATACTAATAACAGTATCAACAATAGAAATAATAAAAATAATATTAATAATAATAAATAATAGGCAAAGGCCGTCTGAGTTTGTTTGGTTGCGTCTGATATTTGTTTACTGCAGATTAGCAGCAGATTTAATTTTTTTGTTTTTATAAATATATTTTTTACGTCTTTGTTTAAATGCACGAGGCAAATTCAAATAAACACAAAAAAAGAGATAGGTTTAAATGCACCAGCAGCATTATATATGCATATATATATATATATATGTATATATATATATATGTATATATATATATATGTATATATGTGTATATATAATGTATATATATGAGGTGTATATATATATATAGGTATATAACAATACTGTTAATATACAGATACGCAATTAATATAAGAGAGAGAAGTGCTGCAAAGAGAAGTAGAGGCGACAGCCGAGTTAATTAGCAGCACTTTATTGATGAACCGAAAGAAAAACAAAAAAGAAAGAAGATAAATAAAAAAACAGCAAAGTTGTTAGCACAAACAAAAAGAAAAACAAATGCAGCAAACAAATGCTGCCTTAACTTGTACAATAAAAACAAAGACAAACAAAGACAAACAAACAAACAAACAAACCGAAAAAAAAAACATAGCTGCTGCATGCAAGCAGCAGCAGCTGCTGCTGCTCTTGCTGCTGCTGCTGCTCGTGCTGGTGCTGCTGCGGTGTGCAGGCAGCTGCAGCTAATTCAAGAGACAGAGCATCTGCAGGGCCTCAGCAACAAACAAGAGTATAAGAATTCAGAGGCGAAGCTGCAGCAAATATCTTCTCGGTTAAAAGAAACAAACAAAGAGCTATGCAAAAACTTAAGACAAAACCCTAACTTGCAGGTAACTTCGATTGAATGCGGTGTACGTACACCTCAACATACAGCAGAAACAAATAAATATATTTAATATAATATTAACAATTGCTAACTCTATAAGCATAACAAACCGAAGACGAACGCTTTCATCTCCTTCCTAAGTTTAAACCCCCAGCTAAACCCTCACAACTAACGAGCTAGGGTTTAGGGTTTAGGGTTTAATATTTCTTGCATGAATGACAGTATACTAATACCTTCCGCCCCTCTCTTCCTTTGAGTGAGTGCCGAAGGCTTATGGATTAGGGTTTAAGATTTAGGGTTTAGGGTTTAGGGTTTAGGGTTTGATGATATCTAAACAGGCGAATCTAATGAAGCTGCAGCGAGAGCGCCAGCGACTTGAAGAGTGGCTGACTCAAACTGCTGCTGAGCTGCGCTCTTCTTTTTCTTTCAAAGTTCTCCTCGCAAACATTGCACAAGAAAGACAATCGCAGGAAAGACTTAATGAGGTGCGGCCTCAGCATCAACAAATATATATACATATATATATATATATATAGGCATATATATATATGCATATATGTATATATATGCATGTATATATGCATATATATATATATGCATATATGTATATATATGTATATATATATGCATACATATACATATATGCACATATATCTATAGATATATTCATATATATATATGCGTGTATATATATATATATATATATATATATATAGAGAGAGAGAGAGAGAGAGAGAAATATAGAAATGCATGCTTGGATAGACAAAAATATAAATACAAGTATAATTAAATAAACAAATAAATGAATTCGAGTAAAAATAAATAAACAAACCGCTGAAATAAACTCAGCGGCTCTCTCGCTATACTTTTTCTCTCTTCTTCCTTTGCTTAGTTTTGCTGCTGAGCTCTCTGTTAAAATAAAAGAGACAAGGTGCAGCAATAAGGCTTGCTGCTGCTGTTGCTGTTGCTACTGCTGCTTATCTTGCTATTGTTGCTGCTGCTGCTGCTGCTTCTTCTGCTGCTGTTGCTGTGGCTGCTCGCTCACGTAATGATGTTCTCCTACTGCGCAGCAATTGTTGCGTCCTTGTTGCTGCTGCTGCTGCTGCTTCTGCTACTCCTGCTACTATTACTGCTGCTGCTGCTTCTGCTACTCCTGCTGCTATTACTGCTGCTGCTGCTTCTGCTACTCCTGCTGCTATTACTGCTGCTGCTGCTGCTAATAATGCTGGTACTGGTGCGACTGTTGTTGCTGTTGCTGCTGCTTCTACTGTTACTGCTACTGGGGCGACTGTTGCTGCTGCTGCTTTTGCTGCTGCTGCTGCTGCTGCTGCTGCTGCAGGCGCGTCGGCGCAACCGGGAGGTGCAGCAGGCTGTGGAGTTGTTAGAGTCTGAGTTAAAGAAAGAAGCAGCAGAGTTTGCTGCGCTGCAGCGCTCTGCTGCTGCTGAAGCAACAGGAATAAAAGAGAAGACACAAAAGTTTGCGAGACAAGCTTCAATAAAAATTGCATATAAAGAAACAGCTTTAGCAGAACAGCTGCACGGAGCTCTGCTGCTGCAGCAGCAGCAGGAGCTGCAGCAGCAAAAAGAAATCGAACAAACAAAACAAATCATAGACAGGGATGCCTTTGTGCAAGAAAAAACCCTAGAGTTCTTACAAACAAATATCAAACAGGCATAAACCCTAAACCCTAAACCCTAAACCCTAAACCCTAGACCTGGCAGCAAGTGAATTTGTTTGTAAATTCGTTTTTGCTTGTTTCTCTCTCTTTTCACGTTTTACTGTCTCCTCTCTATTCTCTCTGTCCTTCATGTTGTTTATGCTTTTATTTTTATTTATTTCTCTCTCTCTCGCTCTCTCTCTCTCGTATGCTGCTGCTGCTTTTGCTGCTGCTGCTGCTGCTGATGCTGTTGCTGCTGCTGCTTCTGCTGCTTTTGCTGCTACTGCTTCTCTTGCTGCTGTTTCTGTTGTTGCTTTTTCTGCTGTTGCCACCGCTACATCTCCACCTGCTGCTGCTGCTTCTGCTGCTTCTGCTGCTGCTGCTGCTGTTGCTGCTGCAGCTGCAGGCCGCATGCAAACGGCAGCAAACTCTTCATCGCCAGCAAATAGAAGAGAAGGAAGCGGAGTTGTTTGAATTAAAAAACAAACAAAAACAAATAAAACAAACTCTCGATGCTCTCACCACACGGGTTGTCAGTCTAATTAATTAATTAATTAAATTAATTAATTATAAATTAATTAAATAATATAAACACAGAAGTAAGTAATAAATTGTTATTGCTATGAGAGATAAATAAATAATAAATAATAGGTAAATATATAGATACATAAATATACATATATATATATATATGTATATATATATATATATACATATATATATGTATATATATATATATATATATATATATATATTGTCCACAGCTATGGTCACACGACA